TCCACTGGAGGGATTAAGATATCCTTCCAAAGGGTTTATAATTCCAGTGACGGGATTCAGAAATCCTTCCTAGGGGTTTATAATTCCACTGGAGGGATTCAAATATCTATCCAAAGGGTTTATAATTCCACTGGAGGGATTCAAATATCCTTTCAGGGGGTTTATAATTTCACTGGAGGGATTCAGATATCCTTTCATGGGGTTTATAATTCCACTGGAGGGATTCAGATGTCCTTCCAGTGGTTTTATAGTTCTACTGCAGGAGGGATTCAGATATCCTTCCTGGTAGTTTATAATTTCACTGGAGGGATTCAGATATCCTTTCAGGGGGTTTATAATTCCACTGGAATGATTCAGATATCTATCCAAGGGGTTTATAATTCCACAAAGGGGATTCAGATATCTTTTCAGGGGGTTTATAATTCCACTGGAGGGATTCAGATGTCCGCAGTGGGTTTATAGTTCTACTGCAGGAGGGATTCAGATATCCTTCTTGGGAGTTTATAATTTCACTGGAGGGATTCAGATATAAATCATAGGGATTTAAAATTCCACTGGAGAGATTCAAAATTAATTCTGTTGTATCAAGTAATCTACATTTGAAATATCTAAGGTGTACACAATCAGGTAGCAAAGATAAAGGGATTAAAAAATTTGAATTTGTGGCAAAGACTCAATTTCTTTGACTCTTTTCTTCTTAGATGGCACAGTTAAACAAAGTAATTTTAGATGACGACATACTGATTTATCATGCAGTAGCAGTAGAAGGTATATTGTCATAGAGAATAGAATATATAGAGAGAAATTTACTAGAAAAAAGTGTAAAACGGCCATTTTTTGTACTGTTTTCATACTGCAGGTGTACTTCACATATTTATGCTATATAACCTATTGGGCCCTGGAATATCATTTTATAGAAAATCTAAAATTATTGTTAAAAGAAAACCAAATTATGAAATAGGCTGGTTTCATAATTGACCAATGATCATTTCACATAGACGCTATGCCTTCCACTTTACAAACGATGATTTTCCGTTATAACTATAAATCAAATGATGTTTTTATTCACCTAATTCATTATAAAGTTTATTTAACAGCTTTAAAAATTTCTAAATTGAAATGAATAGTCTAAGTAATATACTGTATTAATGTACTCTACTGCAGGTAATTTGTGAACGTTTACATGATTTGTACACTTTGAACTCCCTTTCAGGCTGAAAGGGACTGAAAATATTCATACCGAGAGATTCTTTTAATTCCTCTCTATATATTCTATTCTCTATGTATATTGTTTAATCATAACTCTTAAACTTCTTGACAGATTTACCTCAAATGTTTATTGGGAATAATAAACCACGAAAATGTTCTTAAATTGGTTTAAAAATTCTAAGCTGTGGTGGTTGGATTTAATATGAAAAATTAATATTCCCGTCAAAGATGGGTTTCCAAGATAATATCAACTAATGATGTATGTACTAAGTACAATATTTTCGACATGATCCTATTTAAACATTATTCAAGAAAATTTAAATATTCATACTTCCTTGTTTTCTATCGTAAAAAAAAGTCGATACAAAAGATTTGTTTATAATTTTATAAATTTAACAAAGGAATTTCGAGTCTTTGTAAATATTTAAACCCCAATATCTTTAGAACCCGATGTTGTAAACCTTTGATATTTCTATCTCTGATTATTTGATTTAACAGAATTCATAGTTTGAAATATCTAAGGTCTGTAACATTTGGTTCCAAAGATATAGTGATTAGAAAATCAGAGTTTGTGGCAAAGACTCAATTTCTTAGTTCTTACATGTAACTTTAAATTGCATTCGCTAGATAATTCTTAAAATAACTAACTTTGAGATATGCAGCATTGTCATTAAGCAGCCATTGTATATTTTTTATTATTATTAGGTTCATAAAGATTTTTTGCTGTTGTTTAAAACACAATATTTATATAATGATTTTATAATAATAATCTCTCCAACACAATATTACTTTAGATAGATTATAAAACATTTATTTTGCAATAATTATAAAAAGAATTGTTGATATTATTGTTGCCACTGTAAATAATGTTATTGTCAATGCTGCACTTTCAAAGATGTGATACAATAATGCTTCTGTCAATGCTTCATGATAAAATATGTTTTTATTATTTATTTCTATTTTAGTTAAATACATTCTACTCCTGCTGCCTCATATTCATCACAGTTATCTATATCTGTATATTCACAGCTAAATAGACTACTCTCATCTCCTGAAAAAAGATAGAATTGTAAATATACAGATAAAGACGTATCTATATATCTGTATATTAACAGCTGAATAGAGTTCTCCTGAAAACAGATAGAATTGTAAATATACAGATTAAGATGTATCTATCTGTATATTCACAGCTGAATAGACTACTCTCATATCCTGAAAACAGATAGAATTGTAAATATACAGATAAAGATATATCTATATCTGTATATTCACAGCTGAATAGACTACTCTCATCTCCTGAAAACAGATAGAATTGTAAATATGCAGATAAAGATGTATCTATATCTATATAATCTCAGCTGAACAACCTACTCATGTATCCTGAAAACAGATAGAATTGTAAATAAACAAATAAAAATGTATCTATATCGGTATTCACAGCTGAAAAGACTACTCTCATATCCTGAAAACAGATAGAATTGTAAATATACAAATAAAGATGTATCTATCTGTATATTCTCAACTGAACAGACTACTCTCATATCCTGAAAAATTACAGGCAAGAATACCACTTTATAGAAAACCACTTGGTCTAAAATGAGAAGTTTATATAATGGTAAATATATATTTAAAGATGTGTATCTCTATCTGTAGTTAAATCTACAGCCAGCTGAACATACTACGCTTAATTCCTGATTTTTTACAGATGCATTTTACTCATCAAGTAAAATCGAGATTTTTTTGAGGGTAATCTATAGGAAGGGACTTAAGTGACCTAAAAATCACGAGATACGTTTTAAAAATTTCAATATACTTTAAACCCCCACGCTGTTTTCCTGTATAATTATAGTCCCATGTATTGCAAAGAAATTATGAAAGGATCTGAGATTTTAATCCCTATATCTTTGCAACCCAATGTATCACACCTTTTATATTTTAAACTATGAATTCTCTTAGTTCAAATTATCTAGAGTTTCACAATTAGGTTCCAAAAGTAGAGAGACTAGAAAAAGAATTGAGTCTTTGTCACAAACTCAAATTTTCTAATCTTTATATCTTTGCAACCTGATTTTGTAAACCTGTGATATTTCAAACTTAGATTACTTGATCTATCGGAATTCATAGTTTAAAATATCTAAGGTTTCCGACTTAGGAATTAGAAAATCGTAATTTGTGGCTAAGACTCAATTCCTTTGATTATGTGTCAAAAACTCATTTTCATTGACACCCAACCTACTCCTTATTGTAGAAAATGCCCCCCCCCCCCCCAAAGAAAACATTCTTGTTAATATAACTATAATCTAAAGCCGATTTTAATTAGAACTATAAAATATTTCCACGTGTTTACAACTAAGTGCACCTGTACATTCGACATCATCCATTGTATAGTAGGATTCTAGACCATAATAGCTTTCATTCCTAGGCAACCCTCCTTGAAACCCTAGCCATCTACAGGCAACCTCGGCATCCAGGCTAGAAAAATACGGAAAGAATTATGCACAACATCTTTTAAAAACAAATTGAGTCTTTGCCACTAACTCAACTTTTATAATCCCTATCTCTTTGCAATCCAATGCTGTCGACCTTCGAAAGTTCAAACTATGAATTTTGATAGATTTAATAATCAAAATTTAAAATATGAAAGATTTACACCATCAGGTTGCAAAGATCTAGGAATAAGAAAGTTTCAGCTCGTCGCGATTCTTTGGATTACATAAATAATTGTTTTAAATGATCCAAACATCTGACCAACTTCTTGGCAATCATTTAGTTCTGAGTTATAGTATGTGAATGTTCGTTTAATGTTCTATATAAGCAAATAATTCACATTTATTTTCTAACTTAGTTAAAATCATGTATAAAGATATTTTATTTAAACTCTCTGTATGCCCTATGCAGAGTAACAAGTTTCATAATTCCACGAGATGAACAGTAAATACTGTAGGAAAAATTAAATATTTACTTTGAACAGTTTTAAAGTTAGGTTGAGAGCAAATATACTTTCTCTTATTTGAAGAAATTTGAAAAGTATGCTTAACACTTAACATTATTTAAAGCTTTTAAAGGACTTTCGACGTATTAAATTCCAATTTACTCTGATGCATCCTTTTTTTTAGAGAAACTGCAATTGAAGTTGATGAATTTTTGAATAAAAAACAAGGATCATTTTAAAAATTTTCTTTTTATTTCACAAAGGTTTAAGTGGTTCCACGCGGTACCGTTGTGAATGAGAAATTAGTTGTATGAAAGGGATTTACTTAAAATCAAGTCAATAAAAACCTATTAATAATTTATATTCTTACATATCCCAATAATCATCACAAACTCCTTCGTATCTTAGAGTCAATTCATTCCAAATATTTACATTTCCTTCTGAAGCAGTGGATCCACCTGTCAGCTTTACAAGGGCTAAATAGGGATTTTAAAAATATTCATTAAATTTAGAATTTTTTATTATTTTTAATTGAATTTTTATTCACCTCCACATTCATAACTTCCAAAGGAGTTTAAACAAGCTGGGAAGCTTCCAGTACAGTTGTGGAAACCTAGGTTTAAAGATACTAATTACTTAAAGTAAATAGAAAAATCGGATTATTACCTAGTTTACACTCGTCAATATCACTACAGCCGGACAACGAGCTCCTCCAGTCAGTAAATCCATTCATGCAAACACATAAATAGCTTCCAACAGTGTTGTTACATAAGCTGTTTGGTCCACAGTTTACTAGGACAGTTTAGCATCAGTTTCAAGTGGATTAATAATATATATGAATTTTAGTCAGATTTCCTGCCGGGGGATTTCAATATCTGGATTTTGTTCCGTATTTTCTAAGTCATAGAATTATTTTTTTTTCAAAGCTATAAATAACACAAAAAAGCTTTGAAATCCTTATATACAATGCAACCAAACAAATGGACTTTTCCCATTCTTGGATGAAAATCAAAATTAGAGAAGTTTATGATATGTTGATAAGTCATATCAGCTTTTCTCCTTCCCTTTATAGTTGGAAGTGATATTTATTATCATATCGGATCTATTTATTTTAATCCTGATAATACATCTAAAGTTTAAATAATTCAATGAAATTGAAATATTTAAGATTTATTTGAAGTATACCTGTCAAACATTCATCCTTGTCTGTACACCCAGCTGAAACTTTCCAGTTTTCAAATCCAGTTTTACAAGAGCAGTAGTACGCCCCTGGAGTATTGTAGCAGGATACTGTGTTTGCTCCACACGAGCTTGAACCTAAACATGGACCATTGATAGGAGATACAATAACCTTTTTGGTGTTGATAATAGTACCTGTGTTACACTCATTTATATCATAACATCCATAGGATTTAGACCATGAACCATAACCTGGGTTACAGGTGCAGGTGTAACTACCAATATTATTGATACATGTATCTGTATTGTATCCGCAGTCTACTAGTTCTGAAGATTAATACCAGTTATTAAGTGAAAATGAATTCAAATTGAAGTTTACTAACCAGCACACTCGTCTCGATCTGTACATCCCTCTCCTTCTTTCCAGTTCTCAAATCCAGTTTTACAAGAGCAGTAGTACGCCCCTGGGGTATTGTAGCAGGATATTGTGTTTGCTCCACACGAGCTTGAACCTAAACATGGACCATTGATAGGAGATACGATGGCCTTTTGATGTTGATATTAGTACCTGTGTTACATTCATTAATATCATAACATCCATAGGATTTAGACCATGAACCATAACCTAGTTTACAAGTGCAGGTGTAACTACCAATAGTATTGATACATGTATCCGTATTATATCCACAGTCTACTAGTTCTAAATATAAATACCAGTTATTATGTGAAAATGAATTTAAAGGAATTGAGTCTTTGTCACAATCTCAGATTTTCTAATCCCTATATCTTTGCAACCCAAAGTCGTAAACCTTAGATATTTCAAACTATGAATGTTTTTAGACAAAACAATCTAAGTTTGAAATATCAAAGACTCAGTTCCTTTAAGTTTACTGACCAGCACACTCGTCTCGATCTGTACATCCTTCTCCTTCTTTCCAGTTTTCAAATCCAGTTTTACAAGAGCAGTAGTACGCCCCTGGGGTATTGTAGCAGGATATTGTGTTTACTCCACAAGAGCTTGAACCTAGGGAAATTTGTATAATTCAAAAGCGTTTACATCTTTTCTATGTATGAAGATTGATATGTTTTGCAATCAAATAAAAACTCTTGTATGTTTAATCATTTTATTTGCCACTTATGTATGCCTTCAAGATTGATATGTTTTGTAATCAAATGAAAACTCTTTTATGTTTAATCATTTTATCTGCATTTATGTATGCCTTCAAGATTAATATGTTTTGCAATAAAAAAAGTCTTGTATGTTTGTTTTATATAACCACTCACAGATTCCTGCTGCACTAGAGTGGGTACAAAAGTCTTAATTACATTTGTCCCCAAAAATCCCAAAGCTGTAGACTTTTAATATCCGTTGTTGCAGCGCTCAGCCCCTTACCAGACTTCCCCTGCTGGGTTCGGCTTAAATGTGTCCCCAATCTAACTGAAAATATGGGCTAACCATATATTTATTCAGGATTTAAGACTTCAGGATTCTGTAGTTTTAGTGCATTATGTACATTATTTGGGATAATGCACGGTTGTATAATAGGTTTTCTTAAGCTTGATGCGCTCCAATGTACGGGAAATGTCGCCTCTTTAGCAGAGACAGATAAAAATTAGAATTAAAATATGATGTCACTGATCATAGAGGCGAGAGTGACGGAATCTATCTAATATCTATCTTTGCTAAGGAGACAATATTTTCTGTACATTGGAGCGCTTCGAGAGTATGCAACCTTATTATACAACCTTGGAATAATGTGTTTCTATCAAATGTCATCAGATATTTGTATTTTGACCACTTTGAATCCACTTTAATCTGAAGATAGCAAAACTCAAAACTCATTTATGACTCTATAATTTAAAGAATTGAAAGGAATTTCTATGACAATTTTTTAAATCCAACCTGAAGGGATAAACAATCATTAATGACTCTATAATTCAATAATTAAAAGAAACTACTATGAGAATTTTTCAAATCCAATCTGAAGGGGGCAAACTCATTACTGACTTTATAATTTAAAGAATTAAAAGGAATTTCTATGATAATTTTTTAAATCCAACCTGAAGGGATAAAAACTCATTAATGACTCTATAATTCAATAATTAAAAGTAACAACTATGAGAATTTTTCAAATCCAATCTGAAGGGGGCAAACTCATCAATGACTTTATAATTTTAAGAATTAAAAGGAATTACCATAACAATTTTATAGATTGTACCTGTGTTACACTCATTTATATCGTAACATCCATAAGATTTAGACCATGAACCATAACCTGGTTTACAAGTGCAGGTGTAACTACCAATATTATTGATACATGTATCCGTATTATATCCACAGTCAACCAAATCTAAAGATTAAATATTTTTTTTAAAGATTTACTTATACATTAGAAAGTTTGGAAAAATTGAAACCTAAAGCACACTCATCAGTGTCTGAGCAACCAAGGAGATGGGTCCAGTTTCCAAACCCAGTCTTGCAGGAACAATAATAGCTTCCAATTGTATTGTAGCAGTATCTGTATGACGGAGTTAGGGTATTCTCACCGCATTCATATAAACCTTAAACATTATCAACTCGATCATTGTATAAATAGATAAATAAATAAATAATGATTTATTGAGATAAAATCAAGTATTGATTATCATTAACTAATACCATCAATCACTAATATCAATAACTAATTACCAATATATTTTTGGTTCAGCCACCTCCTAATATATGGATCGGCAGATTTTATTTTACTGTCCTGATTGGCATATTACTAGAGACGTTCGACTTTTTTATTTTGTTTGTTTATCATTCGTGAACGACCTGTTACGTTTTTTTTTTCAATTGTTAAAAAAAATTTTCGTTCTTTCTCAAAAGTATTTTTAACTTTCCATTCATTTCGTTCGTTTCCTCATTGAACGATTGTTCAGTAGAATCGTTTGTTCAAAAAACCAATCGTTTTTTCTAAAATTTGTCCCAAACAATAGTTTGTTCAGTAAAAACTATAGTTTTTTCAAGTTTTTACGTTCGTTTAAAAAAGATAACTTTTTAATTTCTCTTAACAATCCATTTCGTTAGTCCATCATTCGTGCTTTTCGTTCGTTGAAAAAATGATGTTCGTTAAAAAAAATATGCCCATCTCTACATGATACTGCTCCTCATGGCTTAGTTGGTTTTCATTGTATAACTAAACTATCTGGATCTACTCACCCTGGATACACTCATTAATGTCTATACAGCCTATCTTTGGTTCCCATAATTCAAATCCAGGTAAGCACTGGCAGGTGTAACTTCCAATAGTATTTTGGCACACATCGTCAGTATTTGCTCCACAGTTATAGCCACCTTTAATAGATTACAGCATGGATATGATTACAGAGAGATTGCCAATATCAGAAAGTGGCATGCACTGTCATCTTGCCAGTCACATTTGTTACATAAATTATGCTGAGTTGACTTTTCATGGGGTAGTCCAGACTGGACGGTACAGCTGAATGCATATATGGTACATGATGTACCCTCTTGGATCATGAACTTTTAAAGTGGGGCGCAGACATCTGCGATAAATTAGGTATCCTTAAAAGCTTCGTCTGATCAAGAATTAATGAGGTATCCAATTTTTTTTTATTTTGGTTTCTCTTTGAACTGAAATAGTCCGAATTTGAACAGTTTTTAATCTAGAAAAACAGCGATATATTTTTGGTCAGAAAAAGGTTTAAAGCTGGTATTGTTTTGAATGCATGAAGGGGCACTTGGAATTATATATGTTACAAATTAAATGGTACCATTAGGAATGCATGGAGGGGCACTTGACATTGGAATTTACAAATTAAAATGGTAACATTGGCAAGTTTAGGGTAGGACTCGGTAACAGTTAAATGTCTAAGGTCGATAACCTTTGCATGTTTTGTGTCGGTAATATTAGCATGTTTTGGGTTCGTAAAAATGTGCATGTCGGTAACATTTGTACGTTTTGGGCCAGTAACATATGTATGCTCTGTATTTCCTTTCTTTATCATCTGTGGAAAAGGTATATTTACCATTAGAGCATTCATCAACATCAGAGCAACCAATATATTTTTGAAAGCTGTCAAACCCTGCCAAACATTTACAGCCAAACCCACCATCATTGTTCACACAGATAGCATTAGATCTAAAAAATTAGATTGTATTTAAATTCTTCATTTTCTTTTAAAAATCAATTTGAATTAAAAGTTTCCTGCAGTAATCTGGTCCATAATCGGTAGTACATTCATCAATATCATCACATGTTCCAGTTCTACTGTTCTGTATATATCCGGTATTACAAGCACAGATATAGCTACCCTTCGTGTTTATGCATTCAGCCCACCCTCCACATATATTTTCTAAATTAAAACATTGTTGGAATTCTAAAGTTGAAGAAATTTTTTACCTACTAGCGTTTTTTAAACTTGTAAGAATTCTAAAGTTGAAGAAATTTTTTACCTACTAGCGTTTTTTAAATTTGTCAGTTTTGATTTTTCTTTAACACGGTTAAAACAAGCAATAGATATTTTTTTATTTGAAAAGATTCTAAAAATTTTAGATGGTTTATTTACAAAAATAATCTGAAAAGAGTTCACCCTCATTCTCAAAATAAATACTAGCTATTTTTTACACTGCTTTAAATGAACTTACTCCACGCAGCATCAGTCAGATGAGAGGGTGCACGTTCTTACCAGTGTTATGCATAATAGCATTGGAGCTACTCAAATCCGATTTGAGAGGATCTGGCGCTACTCTGCATTGCACTGGTTAGAATGTGTACGCTCTCATCTGACTGATGGTACGAGGAGTAAGTTTATTTAAAACAGTGCAGAGATTTGATTTTAAAAGAAAGAATCTAGTAACAAACTTCTGAACTATCAAAGAAATTCTAGTTTTGGCTGGAAAATTTCCTTGGCTAAATTCATATTTTTCATTTCGTGATCAAAGTTTCAAAACTGAAAATATCAAATGTAAGAAGAACTCCGATCTTCTAATTCCTATATCTTTGTAACCTGATGTCAAACGTCTTTTTATATTTCTAACTGTAGTACAAGAAATAGTTTAAAATTTGAAATAAAATTGGCAAAATCATCAGTTGCAAATTTAAAAGGATAATAAAATTAGAGTTCGTTGCAAGAATTTATAATAGTTATGGACAATGAGCATACATTCATAAAACTGTACAAAAGTACTTTTATGAATTTTTGCTGCGGCTTTAAACCGAAAAACTGCTTAAAATTACATGAACAATTCCTTTTAAGAGCTCAATTATTGCTTATTACCGATGCTACATTCATTTTGATCTACACAGCCTCCATGGTGAACCAAGTCCGTATATCCCGGTAAACATGTACAGATGTAACTTCCAATCATGTTGGTACAGTTTGTGTGAGGTCTAGAAATATTACATGCATAAAATTCATTGAATATAGATAAAACGATTTAAATATTTAATATTGGTTTACGTACAAGAGTTTTTAAATGGTATATTAAAAGAGAAATAAATAGGGTTTACATTTGCAAAACTTTTGCGCAATTTTTGTGAAACAAGCGAAAATTTTTGCTTTCGTTGTGCTACATTTTTGCGGGAAAAAATATCACTTTGCGCAATCTTTCGCAAATTTCATTACGCGCAAAAATGCGCCATTCCGCTTTTGCGTTATTCTGTTTTGCGCAATTTTGCAGCACAAATTATCAGTATAAAGTAATTATTTGTAAGACTGCACTTTTTCCATTTGTGCTTAAAAAGGAAATGATTACTTGCATAAAACTTTATTTTCAACCTGATGCATAATGGCGCACAGCAAATGAAGATTTGCACGATCTCACACAAAAGTCAAGCAGTATTTTGCCAATTACTCATGTTAGACTGAAGATAGAAACAGACGCGTTGCATTTTTAAAATGTATATATGCCTAGGCCTACAAAAAAGTATCAGGCAGATGCGACACTTCAAATTTGAGGCTGTATAAAAATTCGATGACTAAGCTTCAGTATTGTCTTATCTCGGTGTTGAAATATCAAAGTTTAACACCACTCAAAGATTCAGACATTTATAAAAACTATGCATCAACTTTCAATTTCAATTTCTAATTTCTGTTTTATTAATTTTTGTCTCTCAATTAAAAGATTTTATAACTAAAAGTAACCAAGAGAGCAGCAGAATCATAACTTATTTGTTTGTACATTTTTGAATAAACCTTCAGTTGTTTAATTCTGTTTTAGGTTTTGCGCAAATTACGCAAAAAAAAATATTGCGCTTCATGCGGAAAAGATGCAAAAAACATATTTGTGCGGAAATTACGCAAATTTTGCTTATATGGCCATTTCTTGGAAACCCTAGAAATAAACAGAAGTTAACAGCTGGAGCACGTAAAACTAACTATACAACGAATTATGCATCCCGTCTGTATCGGAATATTTTCAAAAACATTTTTACCTCTTCTTAGAAATATGTCAAAAATAGCGTTAAAGATTTATGCACTGAATATTTGAAATAAAAAATCTAAATTTAACAGATGAAAATAGATTCTAAAGTTCAGACACATTGTAATTTACTAGGACCTCTAGACAGAGGCGTATTTAGGGGGGGGGGCTATTGGGGCTAAGCGCCCCCCTGGACCAGTGAAATCTACTGATTTCAGGGGGTTTTCATGCCACAACGGATGCTGAGCCCCCCTGGACAAATTCCTGAAAACGCCCCTGCCTCTAGGTCACATTGGGAGGCCGAAACCATAAATAAAAGAGCAATATACTTTACGATGAGATAATTTCAATAAATAAAAGAGCAATATTCTTTGCGCGGAGATAATTCCAATAAATAAAAGAGCAATATTCTTTACGCAGAGATAATTCCAATGAATAAAAGAGAAATATACTTTACGCGGAGCTAATTCCAATAAATAAAAGAGCAATATACTTCACGCGGGTATAATTCCAATAAATAAAACAGCAATATACTTTACGTGGAGATAATTCCAATAAATAAAAGAGCAATATACTTTACGTGGAGATAATTCCAATAAATAAAAGAGCAATATACTTTACGCGGAGATAATTCCAATAAATAAAAGAGCAATATTCTTTGCGCGGAGATAATTCCAATAATTTAAAAGAGAAATATTATTTAGACTGATAGATAATTCCAATAAATAAAAGAGCAACATTCTTTACGCGGATAGATAATTCCTATAAATAAAAGAGCAATGTTCTTCACGTAGAGATAATTCCAATAAATAAAACGAAAAAAGCGTGCTGGTACCCACAATAAGATCCACCACCACGTGATTTATGGAGAGGGTCACATTCATCTATATCTTCACAATACGATACACCACTGGGTCCAAATCTTAATATAACAGTAAGGAAATCAATGTCGTCTTCAGTTTGACTTTTGCCGGACCGTTATATTGTAAAGGAAGTGATTCTTTGTCAAAAACTCTGATTTAATAATCCCTATATCTTTACAACCAAATTCAGCCATTTCAAACTTGAAATTCGGCCAGATCAAATAATCTAAGTTTGAAATACAAATGTGTAAGTGTGCACCATAGGTTTGTAAAGATTTATGAACTATCAAATTTGAGATTGTGACAAAGACTCAATTTTTTCACAAAATGTGTTTAAAGGCCTGACCGTTAATTCTAAATTTCAAATAGATTATAATTAAACTCTAATTTTAAATATATAAGTTGTGACACTATGTCGGGCGTTAGATAAGTTAGATAAGTTAGATAAGTTAGATAAGTTAAGTTAGATAAGATTAGATAAGTTAGATGAGTTAAGTTATACAAGTTAGTTAAGTTAGATAAGTTAGATAAGTTGGATAAGTCGGATAAGTTGGATAAATTAGATAAGTTGGATAAGTTAGATAAGTTGGATAAGTTGGATAAGTTGGCCGGATAAGTTAGATAAGTTGGATAAGTTGGATAAGTTGGATAAGTTAGATAAGTTAGATAAGTTAGATAAGTTAGATAAGTTGGATAGGTTAGATTTTAATGTTTGGAACAGTTTGGTCTCCAAATAAATTGTAATAATTACGCGATTGTTCGATAATGATAAACATATTACCATTGGTTCAGGCGTTTTATTTGAACTAAAACAACAACAGAACGGGACAGTTTCTACTTACTTACAGAACAGTCCAGTTGCGCAATCATTATCAGTTAGGCATCCCTCTTCTCCTTGGGAACATTTATAATATCTTTCATTACAAGGTCTATAACAGCAACTACTGCTAATGTTAAATCCAAATGTTTCTGAATTCCTCGGGAACACGTGTCTAAACACGTTAAATATATTTTTAAAATAAAATTTAGTTTTGGTTAATTTTTACCAACCTTGGAAAATAAGTTGTATTTAAACATGTTCCAACTCCACAGATTAACCCTAAGGAACTCTGAAACAAGTTCTATTGCCAGGTTTTGTATGGATAAAAGTGTTAAGAAATATATTCGATATTCTTTTTTGTTGTAACTGCACATTTGATGAAAAGCAAGAACCTCAAAATACGTCGTTCAACCCATTCTCTTGTGCGAAAGCAAAACAGAAGTGGTTCAACTATGTCCATGCGGTTCAACTATATCTTTCTATTAATTAAATCTGGTCCCTATTATTAGACACATTTCACATTTCATGATATCCTATTATTAGACACATTTCACATTTCATGATATCCTTTTATTAGACACATTTCACATTTCATGATATCCTATTTACTTTTTATTCACTCAATATGCCCCTTTTGGTTTAATGTAATGGAGTATAATGAACCATAATTGATCTATAAATTTACTATAAGGCTTCTAGGACGTTTCACGTCCCCTTTCCTAATAACATTTTTAGCTCTTAAGCCAAAAAATAAAAAGATGCAAATTAACCTTACAGTGGGTACACCGGCCAGCCTCAGAAAAATCATAATATCGATCGAATCGAAATTAATTTCATTCATCTTATGGGGTATATATTTTTACTTTTTCACGAACACTCCCTTTAATTTTCCAAATGAGAATACCTTACAATCGGTATCCGTTAAACAGATTCCACCTCCTTCTTTACAAGGATGTTGAGGGGTACACATTCTTTCACAACAATCATCATCATCATCCCACATACCTGTCCTATTGTGGTACCTGGATACAAGTAGGGTTGGAACCGGAGAAAGGTTAGGATGGAACACAAATATTAAGTTAATAATATTTCTTATATTTACTGAATTTCTTTAACATACTTTTTATCAACTATCAACCTTAAAGTTTTAAAATATTTAGAAAAAACTTTGAAAATATATATATAATTTCAAATTATCAATTCTGTTAGATCTAATAGTCTAAATTTAAAATATGAAAGGTTTTTACCATCAGGTTGCAAAGATAAGAACATTTGAGTTTGTAGCAAGAACTCAGTTCATTTTCCCTCTTTTTTAAAGTTACAATTTACTTACACTAAACAGTTGTTATTTCCACAAACTAGAGGACCAGCACATTCATTATCATCGTTGCAATCTCCAGCCCCCTCGCCGCATTCAAACCTGAAGGCAGGTCAACCATGTCTTATTTTTCTGGGAAAAAAATGATTTTTTCTTTGTAAATAAACGAAACAAAGGCCTGGTTTTTATACATTTGCTTAAATAATGAAAACAAATCTTGAAATTCCCCATAACATTTTATTACAATTGTTACGCTGTAAAAGCGCAAACCCGTGATTCAACATTTCTCCGGGAATCAAATATTTAATACTAGCCTTATAGGGCGCTTCGCACCCATCTTCTAAATTAATTGTGAACATGTTCTCTTTGTGTACATCGTAAAACAAAACAAAAATAATTCGCAGATTTTCACAAAAAATTTCGTGGATTTTCAAAATTTTAAAAATTTAATGACGATCGAATTTTGATGGAGACAAATATTTAAAATTTCAATCATTACCGCGGCTTATATTTAAACCGCCGCTCAAATTTTTTAAATTCGGCCTCAGGATTCTTTTAAAGATTGGATATTGAACGGTTCTCCACAAGCTTATCACCGAAGACAGTCTAAATGTTTTCAATTGGAGGCATGTCAAGGCTGTAGGGTATTATTTCCACATCCAGAAGAGAAAAATTCTTTCTCAAATTATCCTCTAAGTCCTGAGACCGGTGTAAAGACGACATTAATAAACTCAGACATTAAATGATTAAATCTAGGTGGATGTACAAAACTGGACATATTTACTTTGTGCAAAATTATTTAGTAAACAAGGGAAAAGAATACGATAGGATGTTTATACGCCAAAGTCCTTGAGACAAAGGGACCGAGGTCAAAATCCCACCCGTCAACCTTTTAAATACACCCTATGCTCCATTGGAGTAATCTTTAGTCTCTTAACTGCGACCAATTAAAAACGGATTTGAATTTAATTTTGAATCAAATTCATAAAAAATTTAAGTTGAAGATTTAATTCATTCAAAGTTTTTCTAACTCTAATTTAATGAATGTTTAAATTAATGTAAATTTATTTAAACAGCTTGCTGTTCTCAAATATGAGATTCATTCATAAGTTGAAGGATTAAAGAATAATTTAATTCCTTAAGAAAATGAAAAAATAAAAGTTTTAAAATTGAAAATATCCTGTTGCAACAATCCTCTCCTCCTCTACATCAAACAAACTTTAAAATATAAAAACAAAAACATATCAGTTTTAAAAAAATATTTTGAAGAAACATATGGAAACTCCACATTTCGTTTTCAAAGCTTTCTTTTATGTTATTGATTAATTTTTAAGAATGCGAAACCAGGAACCGCCATCTCTCTTGACTTGAACGTTTTTAAAATTCCTATATCTTTGCAACCCAATGTTGTTGACCTTAGATATTTGAAAGTATGATTCATGTTAGATAAAGTAATATAAGTTTGAAATTTTATCATCAGGTTGTAAAGATAAAGTTATTAGAAAATTTGAGTTTGTGGCAAAGACTCAATTCTTTTTAAACATTATCTTGAGGTTGACCTAGTCAAAAGTTTTGAGATCTTCCTGAAGTTAAAACATTGATTTTCTTTTATTTGTTTTCATTGATTAATTGATTGATATATTTCCTGCAGATCATTTCAACATTTTCCAGCTGATCAACATGAAAATAAATCTCCTCAATCAGCTCGATAGATTCTTCAAATAAAATGTCGATAAATTTCTTTTTTAACATAAAGTTAAAAAATCCTTTTACCTACCTGGGTTTTCCAAGAAAGGAAGTTGAGCAGTTCGGCACTTTTTCTCTAAATAAATTATTCTTGTAAATGTTTTTGGTAAATGTGTTCGTAAATTTTAAAATGTAACAGATCTCAATAAAGACAAAAATAGTACGAGAAAAATAATTTAGAGAGAGAGAGCTTAAAACCAAATAGGAAAAGAAATTTGGAAAAAATCACGAAAGAAATGAAAATAAACGCGATAGGCGAAAAGGAAGGAAACAGATACAATGGCAAATAAACTAGGAGAAAAAAACGAAAATAAACAATGAAAGGTGAAAAGAAAAGAAAAAGCATGAAAAAATAAATGGCAAAATAAAAAACGATAAAAGCATATATATACTAGAAATAAATGAGGATATAAACAGGTAAAGAAACAAGAAATCGTTTCCTTGTCTAAGCGTGAAATGACCCCCCGGTCCTTTTAGCCCCAGCCCTTACCTGCTTTATTGAAAGAGAATGAGTTGCAAGGAGAACTATTCCGGAAATGCAGACATTTCTCTCCGCAGCGCAGAGCGGAAGTAGTTGAGTAGGATTTATTTGAATACTGGAGAGAATTCAGTATTTTGGTTTAAAGGGATCTATACAGATATAAATTCCATTGATCTTCCATTTATTTTAAGACTTCCTATTGCAGTACTTATTCCTATCTATCATTTTTTCAACTTATTCCTACTGCCTAAACATTTCAAACTATCTCAAACCTGAGGAGTGAATTGTGGCTAAATAGCTTGAGGAAAATGGTAAGAATAATCCTCACGCAACATAGTTTCTTGCAAAAAAAATTATTTGTTTCCTTCCATTTCGGGGAAAAAAAATGTTAAGTATAAATATATATATTTATACACTTTACCTACCTTCCGAAGAAGGTTAAACCAAATTAACTTCTATTTCCTGATGAACTTGTTCAAAAATAAAATGTCCGACATATGTCCGACACAGTAACGAAAACTCCTTATGGCACTTTTGCCTTCCTGTTTGCCTGGAAAGACAGAAAAGGAAAACACTTTTCTTCAAATTTAATTTCAGCAAAAAAAACTTTTTTTACATTATCTAAATTTCTAGTTTAATTTCTGGTTTTTTGAAAAACTATGGATGAGTATATATATACTTTATTATTCTTCATTTATTGTTAAAATATGGCACTTCCGCCATTTATGCTTTGTAAGAATGAAAAAAAAATCAATTAAAAATTGACAAGGAAAAAGAAACCTTTCTCTCAATCGCGAAAATAATTCTTTTCTAGCATCTGGCTTTTAAATATTCTTAAATAATTACACATATATCCCAATTTCTCTTATACTTTTTAAATAGTTTAACGAGGAACCCACTGAACCTGTGCACGGTAGCTGTATGAGACAGAAAATCCCACAACGGAAGGAATAACGGTAAAAAAGATTAATTAAAACTTATATGAGCCCGTAGAAGAATCGAAGACGTTAACTCTTTAATCTTATCTCACCATCGTTGTTGAAAAACCCTATTTAAAACTTGTCACTGTCAAAAAAATTAATGTAAGTTCTTTTTAATAATATGTCAGGTATCTCTAATTTCTGCCTTAATGAAAATCGATCTAAAAGTGTAATCCTTCACTATCAAAAACTAAATCTGTAATATCACGTCTGTGAAATAAAAAACTTAAAGCGATGAAATAACAAGTATATGTAATTAAAAATTTCGTTAAGAACCCTAAAATATACGACTAAAATTGCAAAAAAATTTCAAAGTTTCTCTTTATACTTAGTTAAACCGAAAAATATACGACTAAAATTGCAAAAAATTTTCAAAGTTTTTCTTTATACTCAGTTAAGCCGAAAACTGGGTCCCAGCTGACAGCCAGACGAATCTCTGACCTGGCGATCCCGGATCTACACCCCACAACTGACAATTAACGGTAAAAAAGATTTTTTAAAAAAGTTCTGTGGGAAACTGGCAGCTGTAGTCACCCTCACTGGATCATATATTTTCTTTTTTGCACAGAAACCGAGGACGGGCACACGGACCACACCGGACTGTAAAGGTTTAACAGAATGAATTGTATCTAATCTATTTTCCAAGCAGCAAAGTGCCAAGTTTTAACAATCGTGCTCAAAACCGAAAGGCCATTCAACGTAAATTTGAGGAACAAGTTTTTAATTTTTAGTTTCTAAAATATGCTCAAAATCTGATGTACATACTTCTCAATAGAATCTCGAGATATTAAATTATTAAAATCAAAGATATCACTTAAATTTCTCAATGTTTAAACTATATTCTTGTTTTCCAATGATAATTAAACTACTTTCCAGAATTCCAATGATATCTGAAATTATGAGAATTGAACCCAACCCACACGCTCAGTCATAATCCCGACGGCCTTGCTGTTAAAGGAAAACGAAAGAATTCTTTTTTTCTTGTTTTCCCTTTCTAAACAGTCTTCTCTTTATCAAGTTAAACCGAACCCGAGAAGATGAATGAGTGCGAGAATATCCTTGAATCTGTCGAACCTCAGAGGAACTGGGGGACCCCATATCGGTACTTCTCGGCGAAAAATAACGTCTGATGAAACTGTAACGCCTCCTGAACCGACAGACCCAGGACGTCTCAAGAAGATAGGACAACTACGCTACAACGCTATCTCAAATTTGTAGCTCAATACAATGAGCTAACATAATTGCTTCTTGGCTCAAAATATACTAACGAACCATCAATGTTCGTAATTAGAATATTTTTTAAATATTTAGTCCCTTCGGACACCATGCTAATGAAGCCTCAATATTATTAAGACGAACCATCAATGTTCGCATTTATTACCTTTCTCAATTATCATTTTCCTTCGAATACTTCTTAATAATTGTGTTCCTTCTTTCGCTTGCTTATGAAGCCTCAATACAAACGAATTGACATATTTTCGCGTAAAATGTAGCCTCAATATTAACGAAGAACGTGCAATGTTCCTCGTTATGAAGCTCACATTAAATTACTTTAATGTAAAAATGGAAACTCGCTCCCGTGTATGTTTATGTGAAAGCATGCACACTGTTAATTGTAGCCTTTTCTAATAAGAGATAACACACATTGTGTATGTAGTATCTCACAGTCAGATTTCACAAAAGAACGCTACCCTTAATATATAATGTAGTTTTTTCTCTCGAACTGCTGCTTTACCAATACTTAAATATAAACTTACCAGCAATCCAGACATGAAAAAACGAAAATAAATGTATCTGTTACAATTAAATCTCGAACTTATAGATTTATAATTGTATTTACATAGAAAATGTCGTAAGAAAGTTTTGTGTTAAATTCATATTAACAATCCTGTAAACTATAATGATACGTAAATAAATATCTAGATTTTAAAAAAGATCTTCCATTTATAGAGTGACCTGTACATTTCATAACGATACTCTTGACATTGCTGTCTAGGCAAAAAGTTAGGAAGATTTTGTTTTTAATCTCGAAAAATGTTTAATTCTGGCAGTTTCCGTTTTCTCCTGCTGATAAATGCAACAGTGAACCGCAATTGAAAATAGTTAATTTTAAAGGGACTGTAAAGAAAAAATGAAAGGATGCATAGGCTGAAAGCTAATCACTTTAGCTCTTGATCGTGACCCATGAAAGTTATATCTGATGTTTCTGTCTCAAAAAATTGATATAAAACTGTGTCAAATTTATACGAAAATTTATAAAGTTACAATTTTGTATAGAAATGGTAGGTTTAAATAGATCATTTTCCTTTACAGTCCCTTTAAGGAAGAAAAAGTGGGATTACTTTTACTAATATTAACTATTAAACATCTAAAGAGTACCGATGATAATTCGACATGCCTCTATATCAATAGATGGCTCCTTAAAATTGTGTATTCAGTCACTTTAATATAAAAGTTCTGAATCCAAATATAGATTTTTTTACAACTTCATAATCTACTACCTTGAGGTCTGCCATTAGAGCTCTTTAAACTGACTCATTATTCGAGCTAAACATGGGCACTGGCAAACATTTATATACGGAGCGTCTCATATCATATCAGATCTCCAAGCTTTGACGCCAAAATAAACACATAATATTAAAAAACCTAGCATTTATTGCAAGAAAACTTTTATGTCAGCCTTATTCAATTTTTCAAAATGATTCAAACTTCTAAAATTTTCAGATTTTTCCCAAAAATCGTAATTTAGACCCATTGACGATCTAATATGATGTGGGACACCCCTAAGTACCTTTTAAACTTTAAATATTTAACAATTCCTATCTTTGAACAAAAATAATTAAAGGGAAGGAAAGCGTAATTTCAAGTGCGACCCTTCATGAAAAGATGGCAATTCCCGATTCACAACGCTACCCTTGACATATTTACCGGATCAATAATGTTGAAGATATTGTCGTTTTTCTAGGTTTAAAAGTTTTTAATTCTGATCATTCCATATGTTTTCCAGCAAAAGAAATGCGCAAGTCACATTTGCATACATTGCATTTAAAATAATCAGTTTTAAAAATTATAAACATTGATATCTTATGCATATCTGATCAGACAAAGCTTTTAAGGGTGCCGTTGTGAATCGGTATTCCATTTTTGCATTGAATGTCACTCGAAGTTTCCCTTACATTCCAGTTAATTTAAAGATAATTGCAAAACGTTACAAGGACTTTTTAGCTAAATTTATCTCTCAAACTCATATTGAATTTCAAAGAAGGTTCTGCTTTTATTAGTTTTTAAATTGAAATTAGAAGAAAGGTATTCAAGGTGTTTTTTTATGGCGCTAACACCCCTCTTTCTAGTATTATTCTTGGCTTTTGAATGACATACAAGTCAAGAATCTATATATATATATTTGACTTGTATGCCTGTTTATTTGACTGTTTGTATCCAATCAACGTCAAAAAGGGTGTATTGATTGGGCAAACATTTTTGTTGTAATTTAAATTACCACAGAGAAAATCATGGATGGTAGAGATGAAATTTTTGGCCAAGATTGAAAGTTTGATTTTTAACAGAAAAATCCGTGAAATTTTGAGTTTTACGATCTGGTCATAGACAAATGGGATCCGTCCTAGTATACGATTTTGTACATGACCACTTATTTTTTAGCAAAATTTTTAAATTTTTTTTTAATTTTAGGGTTAGGTTAGGTTAAGACAATTTCTGGGCCTAGCGCTGCGGCTAGGACAGGCTAGGGGCCGAGCGCCGCGGCTAGAACAGGCCAGGCGCTACGGCCACATGATCAATTATATCCATGTGCTACATATGAGATCCATGTACAAAATTGACAGGAGGAAGGGGGAGGGGGGAGGGTTATAGGGGGGGGGGGTCCAAAATTTTTTTTTAGGAAATTACCGACACATGGCAATTTGAAAAGCAACATTTAAAAATTGAAATTGTTCCAAGAAAAGTGCTAAAAGCCTAGAATAAATCATGAATCATAGTAACCGTCAAACTTGTTCAGAAATAAAGATTTAGAAAATTAGTTTCACCTTTATATTTGAAAAAGTTTTTGTTAAAAGTTTTCAATGAAATAAGTTTTATTTATAAATGGTTTTTCTTGTTTTGACGAGTTTATAAAAATAGAAAGACTAAAAAATACAGAATTTTTCTTACCAGATTTCATAATTAATTAATTAAGTAACAAATTTAGCAAATATTTGTCAAATAAATGAACTACCCTCAAAGTTAAGTTTTCTAATTCATATTTCATTAAAATCTTTGGAATCTTAAACATTGGCTAATTTATCTAGCAGAATTGTTTATTTGAAACATCAAAGTTCTACAATATTGGGTTGCAAAGATATAAGAATATAAAAATGAGCCTGTTTTTGTATTCTGAAATAATAGTAAAAATACTGGTTTCCTTTGAAAATGACAAAGTAGAAATATTTCCCGTTTTCACGAACAGCATATTACTGATCAAAACCTTTTAAACATTTTTGGAAAAGTTTAAAATCTGGGAATTAAACTTTCTTCATAAAATGCATTTAATACAGAGTTACCCACTAATGATAAGACATTTTACCACTGTAAACTTAAACATCTGTTAAAAATACAATCCCAGAACATGAAACCAAAAAATAAAGAAAAATATTGAACAAAATTGTACACTCTAAAGTCTCATTATTTGTGAATAACCATGTTCATATAATATTCCAAGTATTTGATCAGTCCCTGAACGCGAATGAGGATGGTAGAATAAGAGTGAAGAATAATAAGAATCCAAATATGTTTAAGCAAACCATTGTCGAGGATTGAATGAGGAGCAGTCTGCAAGTTATAGTTCCATCAACCTACTCGCAAGGGAGAACTTAACAATTTTTTTTTCATTCTTAAAAACTTATTTTCTTTCCAAAGCTGAAAACTTTAGAAAGGGATACCCTTAATCCTAATCGGATTATTAATCTGGAGATTAAGAAAAAGAGGAGATAAAGCAATGATTTAGATAACCCCCATTCTAAAGTATTCAGCTCCTGTCAGACTTTGGTTGCAAACAGTAATCTTTAAATATGACAGAAAAGCGGATACATTATATACTCTTCTAGAGTAAGTGATAGTGATAATGATAATGATGATAATGATAATGATAATGATAATGATATTGATAATGATAATGATAATGATAATGATAATGATATTGATAATGATAATGATAGTTATAATGATAATGATAATGATAATGATAATGATAATGATAATGATAATGATAATGATAATGATAATGATAATGATAATGATAATGATAATGATAGATGATAATGATAATGATAATGATAATGACAATAATAATGATAATGATATTGATGCTGATAAAGATAAAGATAATGATAATGATAATGATATTGATAATGATAATGAACATAATAACGACAATGATGATGATAATGATAATGATAATGATAACTCAATAATAATGATAATGAAATTGATAATAATAACGATAGTTTGTTTATGATAATGTAATAATAAAGATAATAAAACGGATAGTTATGCTTAATTTTCTTCAAAAAACTGGTCTTAACACTCCCTTAAGCTATAAATAATAATTTCAATTACTATTGTGATTTATATTGGAATATGCTCGAAATTAGTTTTGAATATTTTATGCAAAATCCTCGAAAAAGTTGACAAGCATTAAATCAGTTTTGACAAAAGTTTGTCATATTTCTTATTAGTTTTTATATTTATGGCTGTGATACATAATATATACTTGAAGGATTAAGTACATGTATAAACTTGAAGGATTCAGTACATGTATATACTTGAAGGATTCAGTACATGTATATACTTGAAGGATTCAGTACATGTAAATACTTGAATTATTCATGAACAATGGAATAATTAGCAATTTTGGCGTAAAACATTATTTTAAATGGTTTTTTGTTATCTTTTAAAAAATCTGGAAAAAAGTAAAAAACCAGAAAATGAATTAATCTCGTAGGTTTCCTTCAACAATAATTTCCTTAAATTTCCCTCTGTTTATGCCATGTTCTCTTTATTTTGTACCCCTGAACCCCTGTATCCCTGTACCCCTGTATCCCTGTACCCATGTACCCCTGTACCCATGTATCCCTGTACCCATGCATCCCTGTACCCTTGTACCCCTTTATCCCTGTACCCATGTATCCCTGTACCCCTGTACCCCTGTACCCCTGTACCCCTGTACCCATGTATCCATGTATCCTTGTATCCCTGAATCCCTGTATACCTGAATTCCTGTATCCCTGTATCCATGTATCCCTGCATCCCTGTACCACTGTATCCCTGTACCCCTGTACCCCTGAACGAATGTATCCCTGTATCCCTGTACCCCTGTACCCCTGTGTCCCTGTATTCCTGTACCCCTTTATCCCTGTACCCCTGCATCCCTGTACCCCTGTATCCCTGTATCCCTGTACCTCTGTGTCCCTGTACCCCTGTACCCCTGTATTGCTGTACCACTGTATCCCTGTACCCCTGTTTCCATTTATCCCTGTATCCCTGTAACCCTGTACCCCTGTACCTCTGTACCCCTGTACCCCTGTATTCCTGTACCCCTGTTTCCATGTATCCCTGTATCCCTGTATCCCTGTACCCTTATTTCCCTGTATCCCTGTATCCATCTGTACCCCTGTTTCCCTATACCCCTGTTTCCCCTAAATCCCTGTGTCCCTTTATCCCTCCATCCATGTATCCCTGTTTCCTTGTATCTCTGTATCCCTGTATCCTGGGATATCCCCCGGCGTCCTGACTAAATATGTGAGTGTAGCTTGCGGGTCAGTCAGTGCCTGTCTTTACATTGCACAGGGTGTTGGGTGTAGTTTATGTTTGTAGTGTGTATCTGGTTTTTTTAGTCATTAAAATTTAAAATCCTATCTATTCTATTCTTAAAAGTTCCTTTCTATATTTCAGAATAATCTGGGGGTTTTTCTCGGACCTTTTTATAGTTTTTACTTATCCATTTTTCTGTTAAACTGGTTTAAAACTTTCACGGATTCCCCTTTAAACGTTTTACTTCTTTCTATAATTTTCTATTTAATTGTTTCTTCTTTGTGAGTCAATATTCTTTCTTTCTTATTCCGTTTTACTTAAATCTGATAAAATGATTTTAATCTTTCAATAATATTTTTTTTAAAGCAAGATATTTTATTCTTTTTACTTTCTATATATAGTTTTCTATTTCCTTTCTTTTATCAGCCTCTCATCTCATTTTGTTATCAACACCTTTAACATTCTAATTATTTTACTTTCTATTTCTTCTCTCTTTCAATAAAATTAACTTCAAGAATCTTATAATTTTAGATATTTGTAAACTTCTTGATGGAAGAAGAAGAAAAATGGATTATTTGAGGGGGAAAATAAAGGGAAAGTACTCCCAACCCTCCTGGGAATCCTACCAGGGGTCCCTGGAGACTCCACTATCCCCTATTTTACCCCTGAGAAGAAAGATTTCCCCTCTATTCCCCCGAAGAAGTACTGGGCGAAGGGAAGGATCGGAAAAAAGCCGGAAAGTTGAATATATTTTTAACAAGAAGTTTTACTCAGCTTGTCACGCATGATTTCTGCAGTAGAGGTTGACCGGCTCGGTGTATATTTGATAGAATCAGTAGAATACATCCTGTCATACTCACATATGTGAGCTTTAACGAGATAATGAAATGCGGGGGAATCCTGTAAACTATAATGATACGTAAATAAATAATGTCTGGATCTTTGTGAGGTAAAAGGATGATTGGATATTTTGATCTGAAAGGAAGGAAAGGGGAAGGTTAGGTTTAATAAGGATAGAACTGGAAATAAAAACTATTTCAAGATAAGGAAGGGAAGCAAGGGTCCGAATATTCAGTTGTTTGATCTTCAAAACATATGTTACGTAGCTTGACCTTAAAAAATATAGCCTGGATGCATCTTTTTGTAGGAGGAGGAGGAGGGGGGGGGGGCGGCGGAATAGTGTTTAGTGTTTTCTATTTGTTCTTACCACAGTATTGGCGAGATTTCTTTATTTAATACAATAAAATATATAAAACTTGTAGATTCTCTAGCCGGGATAGGACCATTAGGAGCAGGAGGGAGTCCCTAGATAATCAGGCTCCAACTAGATCCAGCTCCAGGAATGGATCAGATCAGCTCCATTCAACCTACAGATCCAGCCCTACCATTTCAAACTATACTACGGATGATTGCACCTCCAAATATTTAAATTATATTTCTAAATATTATGACAAAAGCCTAAATAAACCCGAAAGAGCCAAACAGTTGGATCAGAAAGATCATATTGATCCAATAGAAACTCTGGAAGGAGTGAATACAGATTATGAAAACTCTATCCATGAAGAATCTACCAGTTTGGATAACTACCTAGAGACTGATATCAGTACCCACGACGAAACATTAAACTCTATGAGAGGGAGTAGGTTGGAAACCTTGTGTTCCCGTTGCTCCATGTCCCCAGCTCCACTGATAGAATATAACCCTGTAGACTACAAGGCAATGTTTGAGAAGGAGAGAAAAGAGAAGCAGGTTTGATATTAATCATCTTTGTGCTTTATAAGAAACAGAGAGGATAAGAAATTATTCTTTACTTATTGTTTCATATCTAATATTGACCATTGAAAGTTTAAGATACAGTTTAAAGTACTTAAAGTAAAACTAGCGTATTTTCTTCTTTAAAGAAAGAGTGTGAGATGAGTAATGAGTTCCTTGTTCTTTACTTGTAGGATAAATAAACACATACTTTAATCTTGGCTTTCTAGCTTCCACCCCTACATCCCTTAACACTGAATTCAAAATAGATTTTTGACATTTTAATGTTTTTTTTTTTACCGATTGTGGCGTATTAAAGAGGGGTACGGTTCATTTCAGTTTGGAAAACAACAACATAGCAAGAAAACAACAATAGAACAAACGCGCATTGATATTTTTGAATTTCTTTCCTCATTCAAATGCAAATTCAATTTTGAATATTTTGTATATTTTGTATATTATGTATTAATTTTTCATTATAATCAAGTTTATATGACAACCCCCGACTATAAAGCACTCCATGGAGAAACTAATTATGTCCTACTAATTAATTAAATTAATTAATTAATTTAATTAATTAATTAATTTAATTAATTAATTAATTTATATTAGAATAAAAAGAATCCATCTCTGTTAAAACAATAAAAACAGTTTTTTCATTTTGCAAAATGTAATTTCTTCAGTTCTTATCTTATAAAAATATGAAATTTTTTTTGCAAAGGCAATCGTGATAAACAATTCACTTTTATCAGTATCAAACAAGGAATTAAACATGAATTTTCCATTTCCATATCTTTGCCAACTTATGATGTAAACCTTTAATATCCTGTCTCAAAGATAAAGGTTTCGAAAATTAGAGTACAAGAAGAGTTAATCAGTGCAAACTATGAGATGAAATTGCCAAAATACTTTATAAAAATAAAAGATAAATGTTGTCTTATCTTAGCAGAATAGTCCCACTGTAAAAACTTTGAATTAATAAATTTTAACAAGAATATAATTAAACTTATTTCAGGCTGTGAGTGAGAAAGTTCAGGTATTATTCTAAAAATATTCAATTGAACAAAGGAATTGAGTTTTAGCCACAAAGTCAAATTTTCTAATCCCTATATCCTTGCAACTCGATGGTGTAAACCGTTGATATTTCAAACTACTGTGGAAGACGATACCTGGCCGCCTAAAACAAGTTCCACAAGATTCACCGGAATGAGATAGAACGGATACGGGGCATTGCACTTTCAGTCTAACACGTGTGATCTTGATATTAACACTTTTTCTGAACCCTCTAGTAAAAGTTATAAGAAATATATATACTGGAAGTTACTTTATGTTTTCATTAGAAATTGACCTCACGTCCTCTATACTACGACCATTTGATCAAACAGAATTCATAGAGATCTACGACATCGGGTCGCAAAGATATAGGGGTTAGAAAATCAGAGTTTGTGGCAAAATCTCAATTCCTTATCATTATTAATTACTTGATCATGAACTATGCAAATACAAAAGAGATAAGTTAAGAGATTTGGTTTGGAAAATATTCTGATGAAAACACATATCTATTTTTTGGCTTTTAGATGATTTAAAAAAAATTACAAGTTTATTTACAAATTTATAAAGTTTACATTATGGCAAATTTTGAAACTTGTAGAAGATATAAAAGATATATGTTCCATGTTTTAAATTCAAATTTTCCAATTCCAACGAACAAATAACCCTTTGGGTTTAAAAAGAACCAATGAAAATATATCTTAAAAATAATTATTGATGCTGATGCAAAATAAAGACCTATCCTAAAATCTGAAAAGTTTCTAATCCATCCTTTACGAGATCTCTCATGAAATGTTTACAACAACTCAATGGGTTTGTTCAATGAAGCAGATATTTAAAAAGGAATTTTTTCTTTGTATTTTGTTCCTTGAGTTTATAATACAGGAGCTGGAGGGTAGACAAAAACTACTGGAGCAGAGCATTGCAAAGTTTTTAGAGATCAGACAAGAACTCAGGTTGGTTTAGAGATCAGACAAGAACTCAGGTTGGTTTAGAGATCAGACAAGTCAGGTTGGTTTAGAGATCAGACAAGAACTCAGGTTGGTTAAGAGATGAGACAAGAACTCAGGTTGGTTTAGAGATGAGACAAGAACTCAGGTTGGTTTAGAGATCTAACAAGAACTCAGGTTGGTTTAGAGATCTGACAAGAACTCAGGTTGGTTTAGAGATCAGACAAGAACTCAGGTTGGTTTAAAAATCTGACAAGAACTCAGGTTGGTTTAGAGATTTGACAAGAACTCAGGTTGGTTAAGAGATCAGACAAAAACTCAAGTTGGCTTAGAGATCCGACAAGAACTCAGGTTGGTTTAGAGATCTGACAAGAACTCAGGTTGGTTTAGAGATCAGACAAGAACTCAGGTTGGTTAAGAGATCAGACAAGAACACAGGTTGGTTTAGAGATCTGACAAGAACTCATGTTGGTTTAGAGATCAGACAAGAACTCAGGTTGGTTTAGAGATCAGACAAGAACTCAGGTTGGTTTAGAGATCAGACAAGAACTCAGGTTGGTTTAGAGATCTCACAAGAACTCAGGTTGGTTTAGAGATCAGACAAGAACTCAGGTTGATTTAGAGATCTGACAAGAACTCAGGTTGGTTTAGAGATCTGACAAGAACTCAGGTTGGTTTAGAGATCAGACAAGAACTCAGGTTGATTTAGAGATCTGACAAGAACTTTAGAGATCTGACAAGAACTCAGGTTGGTTTAGAGATCTGACAAGAACTCAGGTTGAAAGATTTGAAAGATTTAAAGGACTTTAAAGGGGACTCTTCATTTATAAAGTAGCATATCCGATACACAAAGAAATCCTTTCAGCTTGTGGTGGATCAAGGATGAATAAGATATTTATAATTCATCTAGTTAAACATTTCATATTTTAATAGTATTTCAGACGGTATTGACGGTATAAAGAATCGTGTTTAAATAGAAGGCTAGTTAAAATGATTTCTACGGTCTCCTTAATTAATAAAAAGATAGTTTCTATTAATCGGAAAGGTTAAAACCAAATATTTTAGGGATTTGAATAGTCAGGCGGAAGAGACGGATTGTATGATAGACAGCATAATTCAGGTAAAGGAATTGAGTTTTTGCCACAAACTCAACTGTTATCTAAAACCTATATCTAATTAACTTGATGGTATAAACCTTTGATATTTCAAACTTATATTATTTTATTTAACAGAATTCATAGTTTGAAATATCAAACGTATAGGACATTGTGTTCAAAAGATATAGGGATTAGAAAATCAGAGTTTGTGGAAAAGACTCAATTCCTTTAATTTCTAATTTTTACCTTTTTTAAAAATGGTAAAACAAAAGCACTTTGAGTACATGTTTAAGTACATGTTGAATATACATTCTACATGGGAAATGTACACACATATTTTTTCATCATATTTTTTTTTCTAAAGCAAGATTACATTGCCATTATCTTTTATCATTTTACCTCTGAATTGCACAATTTCTGATTTTATTTTTGGCAATTTGATCAAAATACCCAATTTCAATTTCTGTCTGAAGTGTACAAATTTTCTTGAGGAATGAAAAACTTGCTAGTTGTCGTATTTTCCATTTAAAATCCTGATTCAGTTCAAAACATGAGTTTGTTCGGAGACGGTGGTATAGGCAACTATATATGTTAATACAATGAAAATGACTTTAGATTTCAGTTTGGATTTTTACCAAGCTTTTAAACAGCATGGATACACAAAAAAACATGGAAACTAAGAGAAACTGTCAATTAAAAAACTTCGATTAGTTACTTGTAAACTTGTTAACAATTAAAACTTAAATAAAAAGTCGTTTTCATTATATTGATATAATCGCCTACCACTATCAAAATCAGACCCGTCTTGACCTCCCCTTTCACATTTTCAAATGTGTTGTTGAGGCCATTTTGCATGAATTTATTTTGTTGTTGAATAGTATCTCTGTTGAAAAATGTAGTTTGATTCGCTTGTTGGCATTTATAGATTTACGAGACGTTGCCATGTGTTCCACCCTGGTGCATTAAATGTTATCTAAATGTTATCCTTCCCGTTTAACAACCTGTAAAAAAGTGTTTAATAACTTACAGGATGTCCTGGGAAAAGTTAATTACTGTCCTTCATTTGATGTGTTGTAATCTGGAACGGATTAGGAATACCTTAGAATTTACGTATATAGATATATAGATTGTATATATATATAGAAAATGCAGCCAGCGCTCTATATAATGAATCAAAGCAAACGGGAACGGGCAGTGCACAAAGAACCTTAATAGTAGAAAGACTTATACATAGATATAATCTTCTACCTTAGGTAAGTGCAGCTCCCAAGTTTATATTGATTCATAATTCAGACTATAAACATAATATAGCCTGATAAATAGATTCAGCTATCAATAGCTAGTTATAGACATTTATATTAACATAGACAAGTCAGGATATATACAATCCTGTATAGCTAAACTAAATACATAGCTCCGCAGAATTAATAGCTCCGCAGAGTTAATAGCTCCACAAAGCTAACAGCTCCGCAACATTAATAGTTCAACAGAGCTGATAGCTCCGCAAAGTTACTAGCTTCGCAAAGCTAAAGAAGGCAGCTCTGTAAAGTTAAAGTTATATNAGGGCGGAGCTCTTGATGTCGTTTGAGACCTTGGTGGATCCGAATGCTGAATACTAATCTCCTAAATATAAATATACAATTATTACATCTATTGAATTAATAAATATGAACTAAGAGAGCCAATTATTGTATTTTAAATTCTGCTGTAGACCGAATAAAACTCGGGGTTTACAACAGATGATTCTTCAGTTGGCTCATTTGAACTGAAAACATCAAATAAACCCATTTTTTAAACAAATATCATCATTATTATTTTTTAGTCCTAATTATTTACAACCTTAATATTTTTGAAACATCTTAGAATATACGTCATACGTGTACGTAAATATAAACAAGGTTTAAACCTAAATCTAATTATCATTTCAGAGGGGGGGGGGGATTAAAATGCAAATTTTGGTTAGAAAGATCTTGAAACTTTTATGATAATAAATCATGGTAAATGCATTGCAAAGGAAACTGTTGTATCAACAATTCTGTACAATTGATTAAATTTTAATATTGCTTCTCAATACCGCTAGGGGAGGGGGGGGGGGGGGACTTATTTTACTTATTTTAAAATCGGTTCTCTTTGTTTGGAACCGGCCATAGATAGATACAAAAATAACATAGATTAATACATATCTTTGTTTCCGAAAAAATATAGATAGATATCTATGTTTGGAACTAAAAAATATCTTTATTTGAAACAAAACAAAATATCTATGTCTGAAACCATTTATGAAAAAATATCGATGTTGCAACCATAGATAAATATATATCATATGTTTGGAAACATAGATAAAAACATATCTATGTTTGGAAACATAAATAAAAATATCTATGTTTAGAAACATAGATAAAAACAAATCTATTTTTGGAAACATAGATAAAAACGTATCTATGTTTGGAAGCATAGATAAAAACGTAGCTATGTTTGGAAACATAGATAAAAACATATCTATGTTTGGAAACATAGATAAAAACATATCAATGTTTGGAAACATAGATAAAAACATATCTATGTTTGGAAACATAGTTAAAACCTATTTATGTTTGGAAAAATTGATAGATATCTATGTTTGAACCAAAGCTGAAGAAATATCTATGTTTGGAGGATAGTTTAATTTTGCTTGGGTTTGTTTACATCCTTCCAAAGACTTGGATCACTAGAGCTTCCGGACTAGAATGTTACTTATATGGAACCCATCCCTTACAGATCTATCTATCTATTTATCTATCTATTTTTCTATCTATCTTTCTATCTATCTATCAATCTATCTATTTATCTATCTATCTATCTATCAATCTATTTTCAGTTTTTTGTTGGTTTTTGCAATTTTGTAAAATTCTGAATCCCGCCTGAATTCTTGTAGGTTGCCCTCCTCTAATATATTATATATTCCTAACCTTTAATCTTCTTAATCTAGGATATGTAAACCATATCAATATAAACTACCAGGTTTCCATGCAGGGCGCCATTTTCTATTATAACTTTTAATTGTTGCTCTATCTGCGGCATTTTCTCTTCTTAAATCATGAAACAATAACAAACAAAGGAAATGAGTCTTGGCCACAAACTCTGATATTGTAATCCCTATATCTTCTAAACCTAATGAAGATCGTATGACCTTAGATATTTCAAACTATAAATATTGTTAGATCTAATATTCTTAGTTTGAAATATCAAAGGTTTACATCATCAGGTTACAAAGATATAGTGATTCGAAAAGTTAAGCTTGTGGCAAAAGTTCAAGTCCTTTATCGATTTTTTTCATGAATTATGAAAAATCGAAATTTCTCAGGCACATCTTTTAGATTCATAAACCTCACCAGAGGTCATATTAGGTTCCACACAAATTTGGAACGGATCGGTTCAGCCGATTTCACGTTTATTGGATACAAACTAGCAAAGTATATATATTAATATAAACTATTATATTCCTAATCAGTTCAAGGTGTTTCTTGTCCGTGTTTAGATGAAAAACGCTGAGACAACTGAAAAAGTTGACCCAAACCATTGTTAACCCGGATTCCTGCGTGGCCTGCGAACGAGAATATAACATTTTTTAGAAATATTTACGAACCAATCTAATAAAAATTGCTTTTGAAATATGTCTGAAAATAATTGGGAAATTGATTAAGAAAATTAGAAGCCATCAATTCTCTGAGACCAAAAAATAAAAGAGGACTTCTTTATTTTTTTTAAAATGTTATTGTTATTGATTAGTGGTAACTAAAATTATTATTATTAAAATTAAAATTAGATTTCCAACAAATATTGTCCCAAAATTAATTAAAGTTAAAACTAGATTAAAATTATTATTATTAAAATTAGAATTAGATTTCCAACAAATATTGTTCCAAAAAGATTAGGTTTGTTGATGGGTTTACACTCACAAACCGACAAACAAACAACAAATATTGTCCCAAAAAGTTTAGGTTTGTTGATGGGTTTACACACACAAACCGACCAACAAACAACAAATATTTGTCCCAAAAAGTTTAGGTTTGTTGATGGGTTTACACACACAAACCGACCAACAAACAACAAATAGAGAAGACAAAGATGTATATGTATATTTATATATTATTACATACAAAGATTGACATATCAATGTAATGTATGTATATTTATTTAATATACTTTATTCAGTCATTCATTCACCTGTTAATGGATTGATTCCCCTTAACGTTGAGATTTATAAATACTGTCATCTTGGACAATCACTCAGGCTGGTAGGCAGGCAGATAGGTAGGCATGGGTATGCAGGCAGGTAGGCATGCAGGTAGGCAAGCAGGTAGGCAGGCAGGTAGGTATGCAGGCAGGCAGACAGACAGGCAGGTAATCAGGTAAGCAGGCAATAAAGGCTGAGATGAAGGTATGTGGTATAAAGATAGGCAGGCAGGGTTGCATGTAGACAGCACGGTAGTTAGGCATGTAAACAGCAAGGTAGTTAGGCATATAAACAGCAAGGAAGTTAGGCATGCAGACAGCAAGGTAGTTAGGCATGTAGACAGCAAGTTAGTTAGGCATGTAAACAGCAAGTTAGTTAGGCATGTAGACAGCAAGGTAGTTAGGCATGTAAACAGCAAGTTAGTTAGGCATGTAGACAGCAAGTTAGTTAGGCATGTAGACAGCAAGGTAGTTAGGCATGTAAACAGCAAGTTAGTTAGGCATGTAGACAGCAAGTTAGTTAGTAGTTAGGCATGTAGACAGCAAGGTAGTTAGGCATGTAGACAGCAAGGTAGTTAGGCATGTAGACAGCAAGGTAGTTAGGCATGTAACCAAGAAGTTGTGGAACACGCAGGAAGAAAGGAATTAAGGAATCCAGGTAGTAAGTTTGGCAAGCAGGAAGGCAGAAAGATAGGAAAGAAGACAGACAGATAGATAGAAGATAATGCAGACAAAATAGGAAAGAAGGCAGACAGGTAGGAAAGAAGGCAAACATATAAGAAAAAAAACAGACAGATAGGAAAGAAGACAGACAGATAGGAAAGATGGTAGACAGATAAAAAGCAGACAGATAGGAATGTCGAAATAATAGGCAAGAAAGCAGATAGATAGGAAAGAAGGCAGACACATAGGATAGAAGGCGCGATATACTGGAGAAAAAGGCGGACAAATAGTAAAAGACAGATAGACAGGGCGGTAGACAGGTAGACAGGAAGGTAAACAGATAGACAGGAAGGTAGACAGATAGACAGGAAGGTAAACAGATAAACAGGAAGGTATAAAGATAAACAGGAAGGTAGAAAGATAGACAGGAAGGTAAACAGATAGACATGAGGTACAGATAGACAGGAAGGTAGACAGATAGATAGGAAGGTAAACAGAGATAGACAGGAAGGTAAACAGATAGACAGGAAGGTATACAGATAGACAGGAAGGTATACAGATATACAGGAAGGTATATACAGATAGACAGGAAGGTATACAGATAGACAGGAAGGTATACAGATAAACAGGAAGGTAGACAGATAGACAGGAAGGTAGACAGATAGACAGGAAGGTAGACAGATAGACAGGAAGGTATATACAGATAGACAGGAAGGTAGACAGATAGACAGGAAGGTAGAAAGATAGACAGGAAGGTAGAAAGATAGACAGGAAGGTATATACAGATAGACAGTAAGGTATACAGATAGACAGGAAGGTAGAAAGATAGACAGGAAGGTAGACAGATAGACAGGAAGGTAGACAGATAGACAGGAAGGTAGACAGATAGACAGGAAGGTATACAGATAGACAGGAAGGTATATACAGATAGACAGGAAGGCAGACAGTAAGGTAGGTTCTGTTAACAAGATTACTTTTCCATCAAGTAAAGCATTATAATAAGATTTGCGGAGATTACACAAAATTATTTACCCCCCTCCCTGTTCTACCCCCCTTATACATCCATATGTAGATATACTTATAAAAGGCCACACATATTTATAAATTTTGTAGCCTGAAACAGTTGAACCAAATATGCTATTTGTTCATGAATAAAACTACAATATTCATGTATTTTAAGGGTGAACTATGTGCTGAGGCTTTCTAAACTATACAAGAAGAATTCCACCCCTAACTTTCCCTTCGCCCCCCCTTTTTCCCTCCTCCTACTTTCCTTCCAGGACNCCTCCTCCTACTCCGCTTCCCTCCTCCTTTTCTTAGCGAAACTATGTTGCAAAGCATTAGTAGAATTATCCTTAAACTAATAGAAAGGTAGAGTAGAGCGAGAGTTGAGAATATATCTCATATTAATCATCCGTGTAGGATTTAATTAGTTCAGGGGAAATCGGAGAATTCTTCCGGAGTATTTTTATTTTAAGTTTAAAGTCTGCAAATATAAGGGCAATTTACGCATTTCATAGGGGCGTAGTCAAAAGGGGGGCTTCAGTTTTTTGGAACCAAACGGGTACTCGGCGCCCGCTCCCTCTAGAAAAAATAAGCCCCCTTCCCCTTGGACAAGTTCCTGAATACGTCCCTGATCTCATCCATAGGACATTTCATCAATAGGACATTTCATAGATAAGACATTTCATCGGTAGGACATTTCATAGATAAGACATTTCATAGATAAGACATTTCATAGATAAGACATTTCATAGATAAGACATTTCATCCATAGGACATTTCATAGATAAGACATTTCATCGATAGGACATTTCATAGATAAGACATTTTATAGATAAAACATTTCATAGATAAGACATTTCATAGATAAGACATTTCATCGATAGGACATTTCATAGATAAGACATTTCACCGATAGGACATTTCATAGATAAGACATTTCATCGATAGGACATTTAATAGATAAGACATTTCATCGGTAGGACATTTAATAGATAAGATATTTCATCAATAGGACATTTCATAGATAAGACATTTCATCGATAGGACATTTCATAGATAAGACATTTCACCGATATGACATTTCATAGATAAGACATTTCATCGATAAGACATTTCATCAATAGGACATTTCATAGATAAGACATTTCATCGGTAGGACATTTAATAGATAAGACATTTCATCGATAAGACATTTCGTAGATAAGACATTTCATCGGTAGTACATTTAATAGATAAGACATTTCATCAATAGGCCATTTCATAGATAAGACATTTCATAGATAAGACATTTCATCGTTAGGACATTTTATTGATAAGTTTTTCGAGTATAATGTGTGCTAAAGCTTGTATATAATCCAATTTGATATGGAACGCTCTGTATGATCTTGGTTACTTCATTTGAATAATGTTTTTGATAAACAAAATAAAACTCTGTAAGACTGTATCTACTTTATATTGTGTAACTATCTATCTATCTTTAAAACAAGAAAAGGGCAGCTTTGCTTCATTTCCTTTCTTTCATTTCTTGGAAATGTTTCGTTTTAAAAATAGAAATCACAATCTTCAGAATCTTTATATACTATAGGATTTACTTTATATATAGAACATATATATCAGGAAATTGGGAAAATTAGGATTTAACTGTTGCAAGAAAACCCCGGAAAGGAAATAATTAGACGCCATAAAAATCTAATTTTCAAGTCCTTATATTATTGTTGAATTAATAGGTTTGATATTTCAAACTATGAAATCTGAAAAGTTTAATGTCAAAGGTCTACACTATCAGATTGAAATCCAGGTAGTTTTTTTTTCAAAAATCATTTTAAAGTTAGATTTGAAAACGTAAAAACTGTAAAATTATTCAATTATAAAATTGCACATAATATATTGAGTGGGAAGAGGTAACTTATGTCAACTTTTTTTAGACAAGACAATAAATAGGTTTGTAGAAACTTAATCCGATCCAACCCCTAGAGAAGAATTTGTTTTAAACTTGAAGCATGTTAAGATAAAGAAAGTATTTTCTAGAACTATTCTCAATCCTATTTGTTACTGGGCAACTAAATATAAATGCAATGAATGCAACCTAATAATATTTCTGGGTCTATTAAAATATAATTTCTGAGGATATAAAATTGCACTTTTTCATGTTTTTTATTCGTCGCCACAAACTCTGATTGCAACCTGATTGCTTACTTTGATATTTTAACTATGAATTCGGTTTGAAATATCAAGGTTTGCACAATCAGATTGGAAACATATTTTATTTAAAAATGAGGAATACAAAGATTGATTTACTTTGTATGCTTATTGCTCTAATAGCTTGCATATTTAACCTCTGAGTTTAAACTCTGAATAAGAGCCAACAATCATGTTTAATTCCTCGGAATTTCTATTTTCTAAAAGTATATGGCGTACAAATATTTTTCTAATATAGAATCTAATATAAATGCAGTAAGAGTATGTTAATTTACAAACATGAACTTAGGAGTACTTATATAGGTTTATCAAACAAAACTTTTCGCACAAAAATAAAAAGTGGTATGAAGAGAAAAATGTTTTTGTTGCAATAATATATTAAATTGACCCTTACAACTAAAATCTTTTATATTTTTACATACAAATGTTTGAAACTCATGCCAACCAATGAGTGTCAGAGCCAAAAAAAAATTCTAGAGTTAAATGAAACTCTGAAGTGTCCTTTAAGAGGTCTACACATTTTTGTAGATTTTAATAAGATTCAACGATAAAGATAAAAGAAGGAGAAGAAATACAATTTCTTGACAAATTTATTTATAACTACTGCATCGCCCTATCAGCACAATGTTTGTACAGTACTGCAAAATATTGTTATTGTACAGGAAGCTGTTCCAGACTTCGGAGGAAAACGTAGACAAACATTTCCAGATCAGGTAAAGTTATACATATTGATTTCCAGATCAGGTAAAGTTATACATATTGATTTCCAGATCAGGTAAAGTTATACATATTGATTTCCAGATCAGGTAAAGAAATACATATTTATTTCCAGATCAGGTAAAGTAATACATATTGATTTTATTTCCAGATCAGGTAAAGAAATGCATATTGATTTCCAGATCAGGTAAAGAAAGTAATGCATATTGATTTCCAGATCAGGTAAAGAAATACATATTGATTTCCAGATCAGGTAAAGTAATACATATTGATTTCCAGATCAGGTAAAGTTATACATATTGATTTCCAGATCAGGTAAAGTTATACATATTGATTTCCAGATCAGGTAAAGTAATACATATTGATTTCCAGATCAGGTAAAGTATTACATATTGTTTTCCAGATCAGGTAAAGAAATACATATTGATTTCCAGATCAGGTAAAGTAATATATATTGATTTCCAGATCAGGTAAAGAAATATTTATTGATTTCCAGATCAGGTAAAGTAATACATATTGATTTCCAGATCAGGTAAAGTAATACATATTGATTTCCAGATCAGGTAAAGAAATACATATTGATTTCCAGATCAAGTAAAGATATACATATTAAACTTCTTTTATTTTCCCCCGAAATAGCAATACATTAAATATGTCTTTAATCTACTTATTTAGCTAAGAAAAAGAAGAAAAATATTGTTTTTTCTTATTTCTGTATTCACGATCGCAGTATGTAAAAATGTATTCTTTTTATTGCATTCCTAGAAAAAATCACTTTTATTTTTATTTGGCAACCTAATATCCTACATTCTTTATCTGTATTTCCATCCATCTATGTATTCATGAATCTATTTATCTATCTATCTATTAATATTTTTATCTATCCATGAATCTATTTATCTATCTATGTATCTATTTATCTATCTATCTATGAATCTATTTATCTATCTATCCATGAATCTATTTATCTATCTATCCATGAACCTATTTATCTATCTATCTATCTATGAATCAATTTATCTATCCATGAATCTATTTATCTATCTATCTATGAATCAATTTATCTATCCATGAATCTATTTATCTATCTAGCTATGAATATATTTATCTATCTATCTATGTATCTATTTATCTATCGATCTATGAATCTATTTATCTATCTATCAATGAATCTATTTATCTATCTATCTATGTATCTATTTATCTAGCCATGAATCTATTTATCTAGGATGATAGCTATAATTCAACTAGAAACCGACTTAAATTGTTCAGGTACAGTTGGCACATTAGTACTTGGTAAATTATCAACATTTCTGCATTTTGATTCAATAATATTTTTTTTAAAATCTGTTATTTACGCTTAGCAAACCCACTGAATTCATACTAAACTAAATCTATATTGAATAAATTGTTGGTAACCCAAAAACTGAAAGTAGGAAACATTGTCTAATCTCACAGATACGCTGGTGTACTAAAGGTAGAAGAGTAAGATTGTCAAATCTTTATTCTATCTAAATAGAAAATAAACATAAATTTAAGGACAAGACATATACTAAAAATAGATTTTATAAATCTACATACCATAAACCCTCAGGTGAGTATTTAGCTCCTACATACAGGGTTCCAATACAACTGATCTAACTATGATCCAATTATAATCTGTTAAAGGAATTGAGTCTTTGCCACAAACTCTGATTTTATAATCCCTACATCTTTAGAACCCAATGTCGCAAAACTTTGATATTTCAAACTTATATTATTTGATCTAACAGAATTCATAGTTTGAAATATCTAAGGTCTACGACATTGGAATCCAAAGATATCGGATTTAGAAAAGCAGAGTTTGTGGCAAAGACTCAATTCCTTTCCATTCTTTAAATAAAAGTCATTAAGAAACTTTAGTTTACATTTTCTTGAGTCCTGTCTTTGAAAGCTTTAAAAATCAAAATTAAAAATTGAAATGTTAAAGTTTGTTGTAAAATTGCAACCTCAGCTAAGTGAAGTGTCAAGTTTAATGAAGCTCCTACAACACCAAACTATTTTAAATATTTACGAATATTTTAAATATTTGATTTATATTAGTTTATGCAGTTTTTATTCATTTTAAGTTATACTTATATAAAATTTATTGAGAAAATGAAGTGAAATAACAAACTGTTCAAAGTATAGTTTATGATTTTCTATATTACGCCATTTTTAAAAATACAAAAAGGAATAAAGTTTTTTTGCCTGCACACTTTTAGCTTAAAGTTTAAATAAAGGATTTGCATAATATATCTTAACTAAGCTTTTAGGGCTCTTCGCCGCCAATCTTCTATTTCAACTTTTAATCTGTGAGCATCTTCTCTTTGTACAAAAACAAAACAAAAAATTTTGATAACATTTTTTCCCGCATGTTCAAAATGGGTCAAGTGAGGTACCACACAAAATTGGGGCCCGCTCGGTTCAGCCGTTTTGACGTTTATTGGACACAAACGGACAGACAAACAAATAAACTTACAGACAATCAAGCAAGGTATATATATATATAGATTGTTAATATTTGAAACTAAATGAAATTGGGTAAGAAAAATACATCAATAATTGAATTGTTTTAAATTGTGATACAATTTTTAATGATAATAAAAATATTAATTTGTTTGAATTCATCTTTACTTTGTAGAGGTGGGAGAATGGAACTTGGAAACCTTGATCAAATTTCCCCCACTCCTTCCAGGTAATTTCCCCCCCCCACTTTAAAGTAATCTTCATAGATTAAAAGGCTCCGTATCCTTTTGATGATATCAAAGGACAACTTTCCTCAAACTCTATTTTATAATCCATAATCTTTGTAAATTGATGATGTAATGTAAACCTTTAATGTTTTGACTGTTTGATTTAGCAGAATTCATAGTGATAAATATTAAAAGTCTACAATATTTCTACAAGTTACGGTCTTATACATGAGGAAAAATAAATAAGAGGCGAGTTAACTAGCTTTCTAAATATAAATAAGAAGCCGTAAAAAAAACAAGAAACTACAATATACTTTATCTGGTAATAACATTTTCTTGCTTTTCTTTTACTATTGGCATTTTATCAAATCTAACCTATATTTTAACAAAAATAGTTTTGGTGCAATGTACGATCAAAATAATTGTATTTATTTGTTGATAAATAATCTTTTAGAGGAGAAACCTGCACCCCTGTTTACAGGGCTAAACCTGCTCTTTCAGACCCAGGGACAGTACATTTTATAATCATGAATTATCATCATTTTAATGTTGACAGTGACGATAATGTTGATTTTCATGTTGATGTTGATATCTATGTTAATGTTGACAATTATGCTAATGTTGATGTTATGGTGCTGTTAATGATAAAGCATTATTGATTTTGTTGTTGATTTTGATATTGATGGTGATGCTTGTGATATTGTTGAAAAATCAATAGTCCGATCATGAATCAGATTATGTAGTAAAAGATACGAAGGTGCAAAGTAGAGATGTCAACGATAGTGTAACGAAACGTAAAAATGTACGTTTTTGTACGTTACGTTACAATAATGTGTAACAACGAAAGCTAAAATCTAGAAAAATCAAAACGTTGACATCTCTAGTGCAAAGATTGGAAAAATTAAGTATTTATGTCATACTGAATATCCATAAAGAAACTTAAAGATAACAACTTGGCATTACTGACATCAGTAAAAATAGAAAAAGGCAGATATACCATGCTTATTAAGCTTAAACAATTTGAAGGGTTCAAACAGTATTAAGGTTTTAAACAATATATAGACGGATCAAAGAAGTCTTTCAAGCATTCCTTAATCCGACCTAAATGAATGACTTGTAAAGAAGGATTGAATGCTACCTTACAATTCCTTAAGATGTCCTGATTGTGTAGATCTAAACCAAATATGTTAATTCAGATAAATACACTTTGATCATATTCCTTAAAGCTAGAGGTAGGGATAGGCCTTAAATTAAAAAAATGATGTATTAAAAATGAAAAAATGATGTATTGAAAATGAAAAAATGATGTATTAAAAATGAAAAAATGATGTATTAAATACTAACTAGATAAACCGTTCTGATAAGTTTTCGCTTTAACTAAATTGTCTGGTTGTTTTTATAATTTCCAAAAGATTTTGTTTCTTTTTTTTGTCATGTTAACGAAAAGTGTAAAACGATATGTGCCCAACCCTATCAAGAGCTAGAGCTAAATGGTGCTTAAACCTCTTTGATCTATGAAGCAGGGAATACAAATGTTCAAGATTAAACTAGTTTATAATTATAAATATTTTTACAAACTATTTATACAATATAATTATAAATATTCTTACAAACTATTTATACAATATAATTATAAATATTTTTACAAACTATTTATACAATATAATTATAAATATTTTTACAAACTATTTATAAAATATAATTATAAATACTTTTAAAATTATAAGATATGTTTTCTTTTATGATAGACGTTTTTGATTTTAATGTTAAGTTTTGAAAAGAAATTAATTTCTGGAATTATTTTTTAAGTTAAAACAAACAGATATTCTAAAACCCTATTTCCATTTTTAAAAACTTTATTGACAAGAAAAAGATAGAAAAAGATTCAAATTAACAAAGTTCGAAGAGTGGACGGGGGTGGGGGGCTGGTATAGGGGAAAGGGGGGATGTAGATGGATATGTTAACTCATCCTAGAAAATGCCAATTTAACTTTTTTGAAAACTATTTTAATTTCTAACTTTTCTCGTTTATAAAATGAGTTCGATGAAAGAGGAGATTTCTTTGATTCTAATCCTACCTGTCTACTTGTCTTTAATCCTACCTTTCTGTTTTGCTTTTTATCCCACCTGAGTATTTGCTTTTAATCCTACCTGTCTACTTGTCTTTAATCCTAAATGTCTACTTGTCTTTAATCCTACCTGTCTACTTGTCTTTAATCCTACATGTCTACTGGTCTTTTATCTTACCTGTCTACTTTTCTTTAGTTCTATCTTTCTATTTGCTTTTAATCCTACTTATCTACTTAACTTTAATCCTAAATGCCTACTTGCCTTTAATCCTTCCTGTTTACTTGTCTTTATCAGTCCTGTTAGTTTTCTTTTAATCCAACCTGTCAACTTGTCTTTAACATTTCCTGTCTACTTGTCTACTGTCTACCAACTTTTAATCCTATCTGTCTACTTGCCTACTTGACTGTTTTATCCTAACTTTCTCCTTGCTCCTATGTTTAACTATACCTAATATTATCCTATAATGACCTTCATATAAAGAATCATCTTTTATACTTCTCCCCCACACATGTACCTGTACTGAATATGCAGAGGTCGAGGTGCAGTACAGTGTACAGGGAAAACTTAGAGTATTTACTATAGATCATATATACATATAGTCAGTTTCTCTGACTAACCTTCAAATGTCAGATATGACGATAAGTAGAGGGTAAAGTTAGGAAGGGAGGGGGCGGGAAAGTTAGGAAGAGAGTAAAGGGGGGTAAAGTTAGGAAGAGTGTTGATTAACGTATAGAGAAACTGACTAGCTTTATTAGGAAATGATGATTAGGAATGTGATGTAAAATATATCTTATATATCCATAAATACATTGATAAAAATAAGAAGTTTAATTCAAAAGTTTGTCTTTGACCAAATGCAATATCTTTCTTTAAATCATGGATTCTGCACTTTTTGGTTTTTAAAATAGGTATTTCTAGATATTTTAATACTTTTTCACGCTTTTGATAAATGATGAAAATTTCGTTGTTTCTAAATCAAATTGGCAAAAAGAAAAAATGAAATGGTAGTATCTTGCTAATATATTTGTACTAGGGAGTTGAGAAAAAAAACTTTTCAATTTACATTTAGCTAATTTATTTATCAAAAAAATCTAAAACTTTTAAACAACTTAATAGTTCTTGACTCCTAACAAGGGTAATTTTTAGACTATACTGCTTTAAACCCCTTCAATCTAGACAGAAGTTAAATATATGCGAAATTACTGGTGGTTAGACTTTGTAATCTCGGAGCTCTTTTAGTTATGATTCTACTTTTATATTTGACTTTTTTTGTGTTACATATAAAAATTCAAAACTTTTTATTTCTTCTTACTAACTCTTAAAAAAGAGACGTTATAGCTAAATATATTTGATATTTCAATCCAACGTGAAATTTAATTTGATTTGACGTGGAACCATACTGGTCTGTTATTCAATGTATTGTACTGGTCTGCTGTTCAATGTATTGTACTGGTCTGCTGTTCAATGTACTTTACTAGTCTGCTGTTCAATGTACTTTACTAGTCTGCTGTTCAATGTACTGTACTGATTAGATATCCCCGCCACACCCAGCCCGCCCCCTCTGCCAGTTGTATCCTACACATGGGATGAATGCTCAACCACACCATCCCCCCTCTCCGGCAGGTAGACAAACATAAACAAATATAAACAAACATAAACAAACATAAACAAACATAAACAAACATAAACAAATATAAACAAGCATTAACAAACATAAACAAACATAAACAAACAGAAAAAAACATAAACAAACATAAACAAATATAAACAAACATAACCAAACATAAACAAAACATAAACAAACATTTTTTTACACATTTATTTTTAAATTTTAAATATTTTACAACATTCTTTAAATAGTGTTATTATAGCAAATGTAAATATTTTGACATTTCTATATTTCTTATTCTTCATTTTCTTCTTGTTCGTACATCATTCAATCATATTTCGGCTAATTTTGAAAAAAAAAATTTTTGGGACATCCTTGCAGTTTTGACAAGCTGCAAGCTTTAGAATCAGGTTAAGGTGCCTCCTTTCCTATTTTTCTACAAAACATAAACAAACAAAAAAACATAAACCAACATAAACCAACATAAACACACCCAAACAAAAATAAACAGGTATAAACAAACATAATCAAACATAAACACACACAAACAAACACACATACACAAACGTAAATAGACTGAAAGAAACATAAACAAATATGAACAAAAGTAAACAAACGTTAAATAAAGAAAACGTTAAAAAAGCAACAAACCTTAAACAATTATAAATAAACTTAAACATTAACAAACATAAACAAACACAAACAAAAATAAATTGACAAAAAATGTGACAAAACATGAAAAGTTTCTGTTTATATTTTTAAAAATAAACCCTAAAGATCAAATTTGGATATGTTTCACACGACAACGTAAATAAAAAAGAATTGTTTTAAAAACTTGCTTAAAATAAAAAATATAAATAAAGATCTAAGGGGAAAACCAAGTCTTCTTATTTTTTTATTAATTTATATTTTAATTTAGATATTCGTATAGTTCAAGAATACCAAGCAGATTGGATGAACTTAAACTTAATCTCAGGTTATAATAAATACATTTTATAATAAACACATTTTATAATGAATACACTTTATAATAAATACTTTTTATATTAAATACATTTTATAATAAATACATTTTATAATAAATACATTTTATTAAAACACATTTTATAATAAACACATTTTATAATGAA